TAAGAAACCACACTCATGCACAGGAGGTGTTAAACCTAGTTCAAACCCACCTGGGCTATGTTGTTACCGCATAAAGCCAAAGCCAAAAAGCCTAGTGCTTGTGATTGGCTTTATGCAGTTCCTGGCAGAAAAGCTCAAGTGGGTTTGGACTAGGATTTTTTGTAGCAGAAGCAGCAGCCAGAAGGTAATGGGACACACCATTACATTACTAATATGTTTGGAGCTGTTCCTCCCCCACAGAAGAAACAAATGCCCAATTTTGAGCCTGAGAAAATACTTCTTACACCAAAACCACCAGTGGGGACTGGCTAACCTACAGCACAACCATAATTTCATTCTGGTTTCCCTACCCACACTTAGGCATTATTTATTCTTAACTCTTTATAATTCCAGCATTTATTTATTTATTTATTTATTGTAACTTCAGTTTCCTTCTTGATGCAGAACAGAAATATTTAATATTCAGAAACATACGTGAATACATGAAAATTTATCTTAGGCCAAAATAAGCTGAAAAAGATATATTTCAACTTTATGCTGCCATTTTCCTAATTTCTGTTGTGCATACAGTATGCTATAGGTGTCCTTACCCCTTCTAGCTGCCAGGGTGGCAATTTTTTTTTGTTTACAAACTATTAGTTTTTATGAAATAGGCTGCAAAGACAACATTACAGCATATAAAACAGAAACAAGGCACATCTGTAATATACATTCCAAAAAGGTGCAATCATGTAAGGCAGAAAAATTAAGTGTATGAACAAGATAGGTAAGAGAGTAGGCAGAACAAGAATGGCACCAACAGAAAAACACAATTAATGAAATCATAAATATTCACTATTCAGATAGTAGATGTCTATGCGTTTTCCAAACCTCCCACTTTCTGTCGAATAACTGCATCCTATCCAGTAACATGTAATGAATTCTCTCCAACCAGGGTGGCAATTTTGTTTACGGAAAATAGGCATTTTTTATTTTGATACTTAAAAATACATGCAGTTCATCTTTTGTTCTCTTTCTCTCCCATAAATTTAAACACATCTCCACTTGAGATTTTCCATATATAATATTCAGTAATAAATATGTTCTGTAAATATGTTCTGTGATGAAGCACTACTTACCTGAATCTGAATGCATATACCTACCAAATTTGCATAGCCGGAATTATATTTTGACTGCCATTTATCCCAGACTGGAGTTCTCAATAACACATATATTATTTATTCTGCAGAGATGCATACATTTTATAATTGCAAAATGTTATTTTATACATAATAATTTTTGTCTTTCACTTATTCAAACATGGCATAGATCTTAAAGTTGATGTAAAGGCTTAAAGTTTTTTTAGCTTCATGTATTGTATGCATGAAGGTAAAAACTCTAGCGGTCTGATTATGTCAATATTTCTGTGCTCAAAGTGGTACATTTTTTTTCATGGAAATATGTCATTTTTTTATTGTAGGCCTGTAATTTTTAGGAATAACTCACTGAAATCTGTCTGAAAAAGAGTCTACTAAACATCCCGTGTATGATAAGATTTGAAACACGAAATCATAAATTATAATATAATAAATAATCATTAAAAATAATAATATAATATATTTAATTCAATAATGTAATCAAACCTAAAACAATGAAATTTGAAATAGAGCGCCAAGTTCGCACATCACTGAGCAAAGTCGCAGAATCGTTTTCAGTGTCTGATAACGAATTTCCCCACGAATCATTCACTCAATTCTGCAAGTGGTTCTGATTTACTATCGCTGATCTCTAGCTGGTCTAAAACCGCTTTTGACCTAAAAGGACGCTTTTTGGACCCCATGGACGTTTCTCAGTTTCGAGGCAGAAAGAACAGTAAAAATGCTGGCAGGGCACAGGACAAAGCACTAGGGACAAAATGTATGTGAAATGGTTTGATACAGTAATGTTTTACTATGTGATTTTAGTGTATTAGTGAATGCCACTTTTTAACATTTTTAAATTTCCCGTCAATTCTGTCCCCCGTATGTCCCGACGCTTGCAGGGAACGGAACCCAGAAGACGGCATCTCAGTTTCGAGGCAGAAAGAACAGTAAAAATGCTGGCAGGGCACAGGACAAAGCACTCGGGACAAAATGTATGTGAAATGGTTTGATACAGTAATGTTTTACTATGTGATTTTAGTGTATTAGTGAATGCCACTTTTTAACATTTTTAAATTTCCCGTCAATTCTGTCCCCCGTATGTCCCGACGCTTGCAGGGAACGGAACCCAGAAGACGGCATCGGCTGGAGGACATGGCCGGGGACACTGCAGGGGGGACATTGTGGGAGCGCAGGACAAGGTAAGTGCTGGAGGGATGCCAGAGCAACGCTGCAGGGTAATCCTGAGTGTAGCTTGGGGTTACGCTTCTGGTACTGAAAGTTTACCCCGAGCTACACTAGGGAATACCGCCAGGGGGGTTAATAATGTCGAGATACTTTTGGGATGATTTATTTATTTTATTTATTTCAGGTACTTATATAGCGCTGTCAATTTACGCAGCGCCTTACATATATATTGTAAATTCACATCAGTCCCTAACCCCCAAGGGTCGTACAATCTAAGGTCCCTAACTCACATTCATATACAAGTGCCAATTTAGACAGGATCCAATTAACCTACTAGCATGTCTTTGGAGTGTGGGAGGAAACCCGGAGTACCCGGAGGAAACCCACGCAGGCACAGGGAGAACACGCAAACTCCAGGCAGGAGGTGCTGTGGCTGGGATTCGAACCAATGACCCTAGTACTGCCAGGCGGAAGTGCTAACCATTTACCACTGCCACTGTGCTGCCCCACATTCATTAAGAAATAATTAAATGTGCCTTTAACATGCAGTTAACTCACTTCTAATCTGCATTTGGCCTGCTTAGACTTGTAAAGCCCTTTTTTACGGTGTCATGAGAAATACATTTTTAACCTGTTGCAGCCATTTCAGTGAAATAAGGAAAACTTACCTGCTGATGTTGTTCGTGTGCCTGTGTGGGTTTCTTCCTGGTACTCCTCTGGTTGCTTCCTATAAAGACATGCTGGTAGGTTAATTGGCTGATGTCTAAATCGGTCCTAGTATGTGTGGTTATGAATGTGAGGGACCTTACATTGTAAGCCCCTTTGAGGGCTTATAAATACCTGTAATAAAAGAATAAAATAATAAGGTTGATAAATCTCAGTTCTCTAAGAATGGATATGTAAAGATGGTTATTTTCAACCTGGGGACACTATCAGATATGTAATTTTGCACATAAAACTTATGTGAATAGTTGAGCAAACAGAGTCAATTAAATTTCAGTCTTTGGGGTTGATGCACACTGGTGGTTTAGCTGATATGGGATAAAAAAAAAAACAATTTAGCACAAGGAAAGTACACACAAGCTGTACACTGCTGGGCACTATTCTGAGCAGTACTTGAACACTATCTTATGTGATATGTATATATATATATATATATATATATATATATATGTGTGTGTGTGTGTGTGTGTAGTGCCCCGTCTAGTTAGCTAGGAGGAGCTAGTTAGCAGGGACTGAGCAGCAGCCTGGGTATGAGTTAGCCGGGGCGTGTGTCAGACAGGTCACATTTGGGTCAGGGTTGAAGGCTCTGCAGACCACCACTGAAAAGTTTCTAGAAGGCAGTGGGTAGGGGTGAGGAGGGGCTGGTCTGCACACTTACGTGACTCTGGCCAATCCTCATGTAAGAGGCTTGACATGGGGCTAGTGCAGCCCTTATGTATTTGATTAGATTTGATGTGGTTGCTTTAAATATCTTTGTTTCACTTTCATTCACTTTCAGTTTTTATTCTTTTTTTGCAAAAACACATACACTTCTCTCACATAAAACCTCTGCTTACCCAGGTGGGCATACCAGAAAATGTAAAAGCAGTATAAAAATGATTCTTTCACAACTGGTTGAGGCAGTACACAGCAGTCTACCTCTGCTGTGGCAGAGCAGCCAGGCAAATCAGGACAGGGCTTCATGCCCCAACACAGGACAAGGAATCACCTCTCCTTTTTACATTAGGTACTACTTCAGAGATGTCGATCTAAAAAATCATATAAGGGATATAAATGGCTCCTGATGTGCAGAATGTGGGTTAATGGGTCCAAGATATTTTGAAAGGTGCTTTCTTGATCATTGGGGGCCATTTAAACCCCCTGCCTCCTTAAAAACCACCTAAAACCAATGCCATTTTGTATTCTCTATTGACTCCAATGTGTTTCATCGAAATTGGGTTATTTTTCTGAAATGGTAAATTTTTTGGTAACATTTTGGCAAAGCAAAGACTCTTAATTTTGAAATCACCATTTATTTCAAACAGATAGATAGGAATGAGGAAAGACCCTTTTCAGCAAAGGTTTCCTTTTCAAACCTGAAGTACAAGGGAAGCCTAAAAATTCATTCAGTTGCCAGGTCTTCAGCCATGACATATAAAACGCAGACCTTTCATATAGGAATCTTAATTTTATATGCAACAGGAAGAGTAGGAACAACAAAAGTTCAAAAGTGAACTAGAAGCTATGGCAGGGAGATTTTGGTCTCAGAGTCCTTAAGAACTCAAACAAGTTAAAAGGGTGATTCTGCTTGCCAGATTTCTCCTGTAACTGAAATACCATAGACTTGTATGCCATGAAGGCCAAAATAATAGCTTTCTTATGGTGCAGACATGAAATGCACACCACTATTAACTGTGCATATCTTGAAATTGGTCACCCACAACTCTCTATCTTATTTTCACCTTCTTTCTGCTTTCTGTAAATGCTATATGTTCCCTGCATTTGTTCACCTTGTTTGTTTTTAACTGTTCTCCCTTGCTGGCATCTTTTGTTCAACAAGTAAGCTCTTCTCAACAGGATATTTCTTTTTCATTCATCAAGGGGCCTTTTGGACTAAACGTACTATTCTTTATGCCCTACTTGGGAGCAAATTATTTTAAGTTGTGTTTTATGAAAAAAAAACTTTAGGCTGTAGAATGGCTTTTTACAGTTCTAGTTTTGAACAAAACTAAGATGAAAGGTAATTCTCCGAGTAAAAAGCTGATGAAAAATCCTTCTGACTTCTGTGTTTCTTAAACTGTAGATAAGTGGATTCAGCATTGGTATAACCATTGTGTAGAAGATGGAAGCCATTACGTCTTGACGCATCTTTACATCACCACTTGGGTGAAGGTAATTGAATAACACAGTGCCATAAAATAAAGTGACACAAGCCAGGTGGGAGGCACAAGTGGAGAAAGCTTTTCTTTTTCCTTGAGATGATGGTATTTTTATGACTGTGATTGCAATCCAAAGATAAGATGTTACAATAATGAAAAGTGAACCTCCACCAATAATAGCAGCAGACAGGGAGACGATGATCTCATTTGTGGTTGTTTTAGAACATGACAATCTTATCAATGGAAGAGCATCGCAGATAAAATGGTCAATAATGTTTGAGCCACAGAAGTATAAATTAAATGTGAAGCCTGTTTGGATTGCAGCTTGAACTGTAGCAAATATATAAGAAGTGACAAATAGCATGTTGCATGTTCTCATTGTCATAATTGTTCCATAATACAAAGGATTGCAGATGGCTGCATATCGGTCATATGCCATCACACCAAAGAGAAGACACTCAGTGGACCCAAATGACGAAAACGTGAAGAGTTGAACTGCACAGCCAACACCTGATATATATTTGTTTTGTGTTATAAGATGGACCATGGTGTTAGGAACCACAGCAGATGCATAACATATGTCAGTGAATGCTAAATGGCTCAGGAAAATGTACATAGGAGTATGGAGGCTGGATGTGAGATGAATGATTAGTATGATACCAATATTTCCCATCAGGGTTACCAAGTACATGATAAGAAACACATTGAAAAGCACAAGCTGAAGGTGTGGATCATTAGTAAGACCCAAAAGGAGAAAGGCAGTAGACTTTGAGTAGTTCCCAGTGCCTCTCAGAACTGAAGACTGAATCATCTGCTATATAAATAAAAGAAAAATTCCCATTAGGTGATTTATTGATCTACGTCTCATCAACTAACCTCTATTATTTTGTACAGTTGATTATGGAAAATGCTGACTATATGGTCATTTGTTATTATGTTCTATAGTAAGGTTGACAGCAAAAAATTGCCTTTGGTCACAGATTATGATTTATTCATGAGCTACTGCAATGATTCTTGTAGAGATTGGTGGCCTTTTAAGTTCCAGATCTTTTTCACTCTTTATGTTCAACCAAAACTGTTAAAAACTAGCCTGCCTCAAGGTAATTACAGCTGTGAGGAACATTAAAGCTGCTATCCTTTGACTCCTGAACTGCTATTTCCAGATCAGCGATTCCACCTGCTGTGATTCTGCATAAATTATGTTTTACTTGTCCTCTGTACTTTCATAGTATGGCAGTTGTCATTTGAGCTGTCTCACACAGTTATGCTATATTAAAAAAAAAATACACCATGAGCGTTGCTGATTCAATAGAGATCTGAGTAATGGATACAGATACACTTAAACATGTGAAAGATGTTTAATGGGATTTCCAGTCTTTAATTGTATTGATATACAGAAAACATCAACGTGAGCTAACAAATCATATCACTGTATGGTAATTTTAAACAAAAAAATGCTTCTAGGATTTGCTAGCAATTTTTTTAGGTACATAGAGACATCCTGCTCCTGCTGCTGCATAAGAACTGTGCTCCATTTATCATGGATGAAGTCTATTAGTATGATCAGCTGAAAAATGCTTCTTAGACCACAATATAGTCTCCAAGTAGTTTCAATTGTGATTTGTTTTCATTAAGCAGTCAATCAATAAAGAGTGTTGACAGAACTTCTCTGACATACCAAAAGCTACTGAGAGAGACAACAAACTAGTTTATGTCTGAAATATAAAAAAAATACGAAACAGAAAATAAAATGATGTCACATAAAATATTACTTTCTTGTAAATTTTGCACAATTAGCTCAAACTGTTGAGTGATAGTATATTACTATAGTATATTATTGAGTTTATTATTGAGTGATTGTAAATAGTGAGTATTATTTTGTAGACTTCCAGTACCCTTTGTCAGCCTGGTGGTCTCCAAAATGTTTTGTATCACTTTGTAACTTAATAAATGTTGTAAGGCTGCAGCTAAATAAATGAATGTCTACCCTTTCGTAATGGCAACTTATTTTCCTGTTTGCTTTTCATTTCCTGCCTCAGTTTTGACTGCAGTAAGTGGCTCTGGCACGTCTGACACACATCACTTTAACTTTATTGCTTTGTATTAATCTTATGAGCATACTTCTCTATGTAATAATACAGTAAAACATTACATCTATTCAGAATTTAACTTTCAGGCATCTCTCCATTGCTGAAAGCAGATTTTGGACTGTATGGTAATGTTTTCTGTACAAAGTTGCTCTTTGCCTAGTGTGACTAAAAATGTCTATTTCTATCTAAAATAAAATGGTCTATAACGTTCATGGCTGGGCACAATAATAGAGAAAATGCAGCAATAAATGTATAAATATATACATAAATGTAGCCCTCTTTTGGGGGTTATGAGAAATGATCCTCCCCAAGCAAGCTATTGTACTAAACCTGTAGGTAAATAAGAGAACCAGAACCTTCGCTAAGTGGAAGAGTGGGTTTAATAATAAGTTGAAGTGCCTCAACCCAGGACAGGGCCTTTGTGAACAGAGCGGATTCCCTTCCTGTGAAATGAACCACTGTTGTCCAGCTAGTCTGGAATGTAGCTTCTCACCGGCAGGAACTGTGGTGTGGCACTGGAACTCAGAGTCAGTCTACCTATTCCCCTGGCTAGTAGTTTTTAATCCAACATGCATTTGAACCTCTAACTACTAGAAGTGGCCATCGAATGCCTAACCTGGCTCTAGCCTCTGCTGGTTATTGAGCCCTAAGCTAAAACTTGCAAAAGAATGCTAGACAGACGAAACAGGGTTACCTAGAATAACAGGAGCTGCATATAAACTCTATTGCAATAAACAGGTTCACCTACTAATATACTGGAAGGTGACCACTACACACTTACAGTAGCCCAGACCTAGCTATATGGCACTGTGCATGTGAGGTAATAACAATAGGACAGAGACTCCTCTGTTACTAGGATTCAGAAATACTGTCAAGAAGCCATGGATAGAAAATAGGAATACTTGTATAACAGTCTCTGTTTTTGATCTGGGTGAAAATACAGTGGTAGTAGTAGTAGTGTATAAGACCATGTGGCTCCCTTGTCTGTCTTTTCACTTTCAAAACAATATAATAAAAATGTTTTCATGGCTCTAACCACTCCAAATATATAATATAATAAACTAATTAAAAAAGGTGAACATAATAAATGGTCCCCAACAGAATCCTTACACAAAATCTTTATTGACACTCTAAAAATCTAAATCTAAAAACATTTCTGTGAAGACACATAAACAATACCTAGTGAGTTAAAATACACACAAAAATGTGTCATGGTACATTTTGATGTAAACTTTATAACATGACAATGGATAGGTTGCATCCTCAAAGCCAACTTGGCAAACAAACAAGGGCTTGGCATTTGGATAAACACTATACTGTAGTTATTAACTAAAAGATGTCCATGAGTTGATCCCAGTGTATATAGGCAGTCTAGAGGAGAGATGTGGTTTAACAGATGTTGATAGTACCCAGAAGGAAATAGATGTATATGGAACACCACCATCAATACTCCCTCGTGCCCAAAAAATGGAAGGAAGAGTCCCATTGGAGACTCCAAACAGCATGGAAAGTTATACATCAAATGCACAATCAAGGAAGTCCATCAAATAGGAACTAAAACCATGTGGTCCATAGGAGGAAATAGTAGGCTGATAAGTTAAGTAGAGGTAAAGTATCTTCATTTCATAATCACCTTGTACCTCCTTCGCACAGGTATTCAGTGTAAACAAAGAGCCTCATCCATTCTTGGATCAGTTCTTGGTATATACAATGTTTCAAGGCAAAAGGTTTTTTACACGATAACACATCTCTCATAAGGCCCTTAAAGTAGCTAAAGCCTTGTAAATGCAGTAGTCGAAATATTCCAGTATACTTATTAGTCTCTCATGATGTGGACCAAGATGTATCCAAAATGGGGCCCATGGCGGGTGTGTACAAAGCACTTCAATTACCCAACATTTCAAACATGATGGATCCCTATTGTGCTCAAGACAAACGTGTTGAGCAAGGGGTTTCTGCAATTAATAAGTGGATATCTCATAAATGTGTTCCTGAAATTGTGTCCGAACTGAGCGGAAGGTCTTGCCAATGCAGAAGGACCCACAGGGGCATAAGATGATATACACCACCTCAGTGGTGTCACAAGTGACCCTCTGGTTGCATCTGAGGGTCCTACCTGTGGGCAAGACCAACCTATCCCCCTGAATTACTTAGGGACAAGAATCACATTTGCCCATCTAGACATTCGCACATTTCTTTGACGAACGGAAGGTTTCCATGTGGTGTAGAAGCAAATCTACCAGAGAGCACGCATTGTGATGTATAATCTGGGGTTTATTTGGAATCAATTTACCCACTAAGGGGTCATCCAGTAGACATGTGAAGAACAAAAAAAATAGTTTTGTTTCATTTCTATTCGTTGTTTAAATAATTTAGTTTAGTTAAATTCCTTTTTGGAATTTGTTTTGTTTATTCAAATTTGAAAATGATTTGAAGTTTCCAAATTTCGTCGAATTGAATTGAATTCAATGGAATTCAAAAATTCGAATCAAATTCCAAATCAGTTTGACCAAATTTGAATTTATTCTATTCAAATTTTGGAAGATGGTTATATTCTTTCTATTCTTTTCTATTGTTTTTCTGCTCTATTCTTTTCTATTATATTCTTTTATTTTTTATTCTTTCCTTTTCTGTTCAAATTTATTATATTTGAAATTATAATCTTGGAAAATGATTAGATTCTTTCTAGTTTATTCTATTCTATTGTTTTATTTTTTTCTTCTCTATTCTATTCTTCTTTGTTTCATTCACATTAAAATGTATTCTCTTTGAATTCTAATTTGTTCTGTTCGATTTCTAATTTATTCTATTCGAAAATCAAATTTCGAATGATGGGAAAATTCTTCCTATTTTATTTTTTCAATATTTTTTTTTATTCTATTCTGTTCTTTTATTTTCTATTCTATTCAAACTTGAATTTATTCTATTTGAAATTTGAATTTTGGAAGATGGTTATATTCTTTCCATTCTTTTCTATAGTTTTCTATATTCTATTCTTTTATTTTCTATTCTATTCTATTCTTTTCTGTTCTATTTGAATTCAAATTTATTCCATTCAAATTCAGTGTATTTGAAATTTTGAATTTCGGAAGATGGTTATATTCTTTTTATTTTATTCAATTCTGTTGTTTTTTTCTATTTTATTCCTTTCTATGTATTCACATTTATTCTATTCAAATCTGAATTTATTCTATTCGAAAGATAGTTATAGTCTTTCTATTTTATTCTATTCCATTGTTTTTCTATTCTATTCCATTATTTTCTATTCTATGTTATTATTTTACTTTATATGCTATTTTCTTCTGTTTTACTCTATTCTATTCTTTTTATTCTATTCTTTTTGAAATTCAAATTTCGGAAGGCAGCTCTATTCTATTCTATTTACAAATCTTGTAATCGCCAATGCCACGCAATAACCTAAATCAACAGCGAAACTATCACGTACAAACTCTCCCGGTCAGAGTTTGTACGTGATAGTTTTGCTGTTGATTTAGGTACTGTATCAGTTTGGAGAGTGGGCTGGAATTTTAACCTGTACCTGAGGCCTTTGTATCAAAGTGTCTGATAGAGAATACAAACTAAGTGACCTGAACACCTAGAT